CCTCATTTAGAATGATGTGATTTTTTGTTCTTTGATGCCTGATACCTGATCCCTTTGACACCTCATGATCACACAGGCTGGTGGGCTTCTTCCATGTGGGCTCTGTTGCTTCTCAGCTAGATGGATGCTTGTTTATCTTCAAGCATTTAAGAACCCAGACGCTGTATCTTCTGATAGCCGGGCACCATCAGCTTTCTTCACCACATTTGCTTATGCACCCATTTGTCTTAAGTGATCGTGTCAGGAAGGTGAGCATCATGGAATGCCAGTTTAATAGAACAAAGTGTTCTTGCATTGAGTGGTGGCCCAATGTCCATCTGCTATCTTAATACTAAACCTATAAATATATGCACGTAGGTCTATTTTCCCATCATCCTATATAAATATGTTTACATATGTACATGCCTGTATTTAGACCTCTATGAATACCCTTTGCCTCCTGGTTCTTTCCTCGATTTCCTTTTGCTTTCCTCTTGTCCCACTATCATACTCAGCCTTCGTTTGAATTTCAGTAATTCCTCTCGGTTACGTTGCCCTTGATCAATTCCTACCAGGCTTCTAACACCCTTCTTGCCACTGCTTTTGGATTACTTGTTGTTCCCTTGTCCCTGTGTTTGTTAACACCACTTCCTTTCCCCCACTTCCCCCTCTTCCATGTCCCTCTGGAAGCATTGGTCCCATTGTTTTCTCCTCCAGATTGTTTATCCAGGCTATCTTATCTAGATAGACCTGCAGAGATAATATTATGCATAAAAAACAAGACAGAGCAAAACAAGTTGACAAAAGGAAACAAAGCATCGACAACAATCCAAACAAAAAACATGACACAAAAAAGAAAAGCCTGTAAATAGTTCAAAGTCTGTTTGTTGACTTTTAGGAGTATTTTCCCATGGAGTCTGATAGGGTGCCATGCCCTGGCCCCAAAGTGTATATTTTGTACTCCCTTGGAACTTCCTTGCTCTGCTCCCCTTGCTGTTCTGTTGCACACCCTTAGTGTTTTGCCTTGGTGCGGTGTGGTCAGATAAGGCACTATTCCCACACTGTGTCTCCAGTGTTGTCCCCTGTAGGGCTATGGGTCAGTGAGGGATGTGTACTGTAGTGGGGCTGGCCATCTGGTCCTCTCTGTGCATTGGCTGCTTTGAGTGGGGATATCGTCCTCAAGGCCTGGTGGGTCAGGTTGTGCTCCACTCCTTCTTCCTCCCCCTTCATTTGCTCCCGTGTGCTCTGATCAGACATGCCCTTTTCCCTGAGCTGTAGCTTCAGTGCTGTCCTTTGAAGTGAATTCTTCTAGGGGAAGGGGTAGCTGTCCACATAGCTGGGATTGGGGCTGGCCTTGAATTCTTTAATGTCTTTCACTAAATTTTGGGAGGTGATGCTATCAGGTAATCACTGGACTGCTAATGTCAAGATTGGTGGTTCAAACCCAGAACTATTCTGAGGGAGATAAAATGAAGTTGCCTGTCCCATAAAGATTTAGAAAACCTTGGAAACCCTATATCTGGTCATTATGAGTTGGAATCAACTTGATGGAGGTGGATTTAAAAATCCTTTTGTTTCAATGCCACTTTCCTTTTCTTTTAGACCTCCAAGTACATGCCTGCTATCGATACCTTATGATGATGGTTTTTGCTTTGACACAATCATTTTCTGGTGTTCTTGATGTAATTTGGATGCTAAGCTTCTGTTAGTTTGCATATTTGCATAGATCTTTTGCTAATTTGTATGAGATTTTGAATTTTTATACTATGTTTTGTTGTATGGAAATTTTAATTTCATATTAATGTAGATGAATTTATCAATCATTAATATTTGTGGGTTTTGTTTTAGTTTTTCAATTGAGGTTCTTTTTTATGGTGTGAGAAAAATAATTTCCTACTCCACAATTATAAAAGTATGTGATGATGTTTTAGTTAAAGGATTTAAAAATTTCTTTTTCCATCCTAGATTTCAACAATAAGTGTAATTTTGTTTAGAGGGAGATATAGGGGTTCAATTAATTATTTTCTGCATACTGTTAACCAATTATGTGAGAGTCACTTATTGAAAGGTCTTTTTCCCATTGAGCTACAACATTATCCCCATTTTATATTATATTTTATAAATATACATGTGATTCCTATGATCTAGAACAGTTTTTGCTATCAGTAGAAGTAAGAGTTCTCCAGCGAGGAGGCTTTTCTAATCTTGATCAAAAGGAAGGACAAATTAATGGCATATAATTTCCTTAAACCAATAGGCACTGAATTAGACCTTCTATAATGCTTTCTTAATGTCTTCCTGATTTTTTAAAGGAAGAAATTGGGTAGTTGGAAAGTGATCAACTGGGAAATTCAGTTTCTTCTTAGCTGATGAGCTCTGGAGAAGAATGAATGATGTTCAGCAGTCTATTCTGTGTAGTAACCACTACAGCCCACCACATTTATTAAAAATAAATTGACCAGGAGATAGAGACTCTTTGTTGTCTTCTCCTATTACTTACTGAACTAGCAAATGCTATTCTCCACATGAATGCCAATTTTAATTGTCTCCTTGGTGAAGAAGAAAGGTTTAGATTCACTCAAACTCCAACTAACTCTAATGGTTCAAACTTCAGTCATGCTTCTGTTCTTAGGAAGAAGGGCCACTTCTCCAGACCTTCTTGATCATGAGTGAAGAACCACAGGAAGGAGCTGTAAAAGCCTCGTTGGGCTACTTTTCCCTATGCTGAGCCATAGTCACAGCCAGAAACAGTTTCCAACGTTTGGTCTATACTTGGATGAAGCAATTGGTGGTTATGAATGGTGCACTTCATCCTTCAGCTGTTTGGACCACGTGATAGCCAGTCTATTGAGAGCCTGATCTAACTGCAGTATGTTATTTGGGAGTTGTAGATGTTGCCTTAATTGTTAACCTAATTTTTTCTCATTGTTTCAAGAAAAGGCTGCCACAGAATTTTTACTCTGCCTGCTGGTTACTCATCTTCAGAGAATCAAAGACATTTATATTGTGTCCGCTGAGGGTCACCGAAGTATTGGACCCCTCTTGTGAAATACACTACTTAATTTTGACATATATAAACCTGACATTTGAGTACAATAGCCTCATGTAGACATATTCTTAGAGTGAAAGATTTGTTTTTATTGGTAGGAAAACCTCTCCCTCTACCTTCATATTCTCCATAAGTTCTCTCTGTATCTTCTGTAGCATGCATTGCACAGTTGGGAATGGGCATCTCACCTTGTTACTTTTATTCTTTTTGTTAAAAAAAAAATTTTTTTTTTTAATAATTGAGAAGTACTTCTCAAATGCTCATGCAAACTGGCACACACACACACACACACACACACACACACACCTTTTCATTAGACTTTTATTTTGCTATTCACTGAAGGCTGGCCAATTTTCTTCCTTAAGAATCCACTGGGGGGAAAAAAAAATCCACTGGGCGTATATCTGTCAGCATAGACTTCTGACTAACCCAGTAGCTACAAAAAGCAATAGGAAAAATGACAATGAGGAGTTTTGGTTTTGATCACTACACTTCCCTGCTCCCATGTGTAAAGTAGGCTGCTTCTCTGTGCTTCTCTCCTACTGCTCCTAGGTCAGCATGACCTGAACCTGAAAGCCTAGCTTTATAGGGGACAAGTGTTGAAGTTGGAGGCACGGGTCCTGGATCCTAGTCTTATCACACCCACAGCTGGTGAGTTTCATCAGATCATTTTTCTGTGCCTCATGGGTGTGTGCGTATGGCTAACATTTAAGGATCACAAGTGTAAGTGGAATTTAGGTAAATGAGGTAAACTGACTGGATAGGCTCAATGATGAACTGAAGAAAGGAGAAGCTCTGGAGGCATAGTGGTTACAATTGGACTGTGTGTGTGAGACCCAGTCAACCAGAGAAACAAATTCATTGACTCTCATGTATGTGTAAGAAAGAGCTTTCTATCAAAGAACAGTTGTATATTGAAAAAGTATCCCAGCCCAGTTCAGATCAAGTCTTTAAGTCTGATAGTAGTCCATATGTTCGCTGCTGGTCTATAAATTT